GCCTGCAGAGAAGATGAGTTCAAATCTTCCCCGAGCTGGGCATGGTGGTCCAGGCCTGTGATCCCAACACTCAGCAGGCTGAGCCAGGAGGATCACAAGTTCAAGGCCAGCCTGGACTACATAGTGAGAACCTGTCTCAAACAGATGAATAAAAGGCATAAAACACTTCTGCACCCCCAAGCCTCCAAAATGCTCACAATTTATCCCATATTCTACTTTGACAGGAATCTTGTTTCAGCCTTTGTTTTCTCTTTTTGTTTTATTTTATTTGGTTTTTTGAGACAGGGTTTCTCTGTGTAGTTTTGGTGTCTGTCCTGGATCTTGCTCTGTAGACCAGGCTGGCCTCGAACTCACAGAGATCTGCCTGGCTCTGCCTCCTAAGTGCTGGGATTAAAGGCGCGCGCCACCGCCGCTGCCCGGCTGTTTTCTCTTTTTAAATGTATTTTAGTCTTTTTAATTATATGTATGCATGTCTGCGTGTGGATATGCCCATGAGAGTGCATTGCTCTGGGAGGCCAGAAGAGGGCGACACATCCCTAGAGCTACAGTTACAGGCAGTTTTGAGCCTCCTTGCTTGGGTGCTGGGACTCAGACTCAGTTCCTCTGGAAGAGCAGTGAGTCCTAATTAACATCCAAGCCCTCTCTCCAGCCCTTTTTTTGTTTGTTTGTTTATTTTTTGACAAAGCTAGGAGAACCTCCAGCCCCCATCTTCTCTTACTGTTCCTACCCTGACATCCCGGCTTCAGACATCTCCCACTCCAGGGCTCGCTCACTCCTAAGTTCAGGAAGGAAACTGTGACTTTAACAGGCCCCCAGCTGTGATGAGCTCCATCCAGGGCCTGAGGCCAGGAGAACGTGTACCCTTGTTCCATGGCTGTCTTCAAAAGCACTGTGAGCCCAGGTGGAGATATCCGGTCCAGGTTCAGATACAGGCCTTGACCGTGGGTCTCCATGGCACCCACAACCTGTGCAAAAGGGCCCTCCACTTCCAAGCTTGCCCCTGCCCTCCCCCCCTCCCCCCCACCATTAGACCAATCCCCAGGCTCTTCACCCCAACAAGAGTCCCCAGGTCAACCACAAAATAATCACACCCACAAAATAATCTGACTTTGTGCTTGTGACAACCCCAAGAGGGTAACATCATTATCGTGCCCACTCTACAGATGAGCACACTGAGGCTCAGAGAGGTCAAAAAAAAATCTACCTGATGTCACACAGCAAGAAGAATCAAAGGTGAATATTCCCCCCGACTCCCGTCTAGCAGGTGACAAATGCTGAGTCACAAATGCTTTGGTCTGCGGTCCCAAGTCCTCTGTCTCCACCTCCCTAGAAGCCCAGTGGTCTGAGTCACTTCACGGGGTCTCTTCTTACTAACTCACTAATCCCATGTCAGGGGCCCCATCCTCATGAACTCCTCTGACCTAGGTCACCTCTCACAGACCCCCACCTCCTAGCGCTACCAAATGTGGATTTGGAGATTAAATTCCCAACCCGGGAACTTCAGCGAGACATTTAAACCCCAGCATCCCCTGACTCCTGGTGTACCCCTGATCCTGAGCACACAGTAGGGCTCAGATAAATGCTTAAAGTCCTCAGAATGGGGGTAAAACCATTTTTGTGTTTATAAATATGATTTACATTTTCTGTTCTTCTCATCTCTTAAAACTGTCAGTGGGTAATTATCTGTGTGTGTGTGTGTGTGTGTGTGTGTATGTCTGTGTGTGTCTGTGTGTGTCTGTGTCTGTGATTGTATGTCTGTGTGTCTATGGCGTGAGTGAGCATGTATGCAATGTGTACATGTGTGTGCTCACACTCAAGTAAGTTCAGGTACCTGTCATGTACACCTAGGTGCCTGTAAGAAGCAGGAGGTCAACCTTGGGGGTCATTTCTCAGAGGGCATCTATCTTATTTTTTGAGACAGGATCTCTCACTGAGGCCTGGGACTCACTGTTTTTAGGTTGCACTTGCTGGCCAGCAAGCAGAGACTTCCTTCTGTCCATCTCCCCTGAGATGGGCTCTCAGGCCCACACCACCCATGCCCAGTCTTTATGTGGGTTTCTGGGGTAGAATTCAGGACCTCATACTGAGCCATCTCCCCAGCTCCTGGATGGAGAAATATATGTATATGCACAGTATTCAATAGAATTGGCCTTTGTTTCTTTTGGGGGTCAGGAAGTATTTCCCTTTTGTTATTTGGTGTATATGTTTTCACAAATTTAAGCTTTTTTGTTGGTGATGGTGGTGGTTTTTTTGAGACAGGGTTTCTCTGTAGTTTTGGTGACTGTCCTGGAACTCACTCTGTAGTCCAGGCTGGCCTTGAACTCACAGAGATCCACCTGGCTCTGCCTCCCGAGTGCTGGGATTAAAGGCGTGGGCCACCATCACCCAGCTTCGAACTTAAACTTTATTGTTGGGACTCCCTGTGAGGGACACTGAACAGCCAGAAAAGTCAGAGGCTGCACTAACTGGGGTGTGAGCCCAGGAATGCTGGCAGCTGCCGGGGAGCGGGGAGGGGTGAGGAAGAGACTGTCCCCACATCCACAGCGGGACGCAGCCCTCTGTCCGATTTCTATTTCCGAGCGCCAACCCTGCCAGGTAGCGAGCTTGGCTGCTCCCGACCACCGGGTTTACCGCTGTATTTTTGTCACGGCGGTGGGAAATTGATACCCTCGCTTTGTGTTCAGTTGTTCTGGAGTTTCTGGCTCCTGATTCCTGTGCTCAGCGGGTCTCGGAAACTTCTAGGCTGCAGAAATCTCACAAGCAAGCAAGAATGTGGGGCCACAGGGTGGGTGTCACCTAAAAGCCTAGGGACAGAGCAGTGTCAGCCCCTGTGTGCCTCCGCCATGAACTGTGAGGAGGAAGCTGAGTCCCCTGCATGGACCCACCCCGGGGTCTCCCCAGCATCCTCCCTCAAGGACCCGGCCTCTGACTGGGGAGTTCAGAAACCTTATATCTCCATGTGGCTCTGTGTCCTAGCTGAGCTACCATGATCCCAGAATCCTCTGGTCTCCTTCACTGAGTTCAACAGCCCAAGGGGCAGTTAGTTAGCACGTCCATGTTTAACAGAAGGAACAGGCGCCCGCAGAGGCCGTGGAGGGCCGTGGAGGCTCCGGTTCTGAGGCCCTCAGGCCAGGGATCTTTCACCAGAACACCAGAATGTTTTCCACACAGCAACATAAACCAGCTCCTCAGACAACTCAATGGAAACGTGGCCCACGGGGACAGGTCACCTCTGCGGGCCCAGAGCTCAGGGTCACGCCTGACCTCAACCTCCACCCTCACACAATCATTGTGAATTAAACTCCTTTCTCAGCCACCACGGCTCCTGGCCAGTCCCCTGTGCCTCAACACAGTCTCCAAAAGCCAGGGGAATGGGGTTTTGTTCAATTGGTTGTGTTTTGTTTTGTGGACAGTCATGTAGCTCAGGCTGGCCTTGAACTTGAACTCACTATGTAGCCAAGGATGACCATGAACTCCTGATCCTCCTGCCTCAGTGTCCTGGGTGCTGGGTAACAGGTGTATGTCACTTCCTTTCCCCTTTCTTTTATTTTTATTTATTTATTTATTTATTTATTTATTTATTTATTTATTTATTTGTCTATTTATTTATTTAGTGTGTGTGTCTGTGTGTGTGTGTGTGTGTGTGTGTGTGTGTGTCTGTGTCTGTGTCTGTGTCTGTGTGAGGGAGTCAGATCCCCTGAAACTGAAGTTACAGACACATATGAGCTTCCATGTAGGTGCTGGAATCGAACCCAGGTCCTCTGGAAGAGCAGCCAGTGCTCTTAACTGCTGAGCCATCTCTCCAGTGCTCCCCTTCTTTCTAATAGCAGCATGTGGCCACATGCTGGTGCCCCACAGAGAGAGACCATCTGGGCCCCAGAAGGAAATGACTGATGGTCACTTCCCTAAGGCTGGGCTGCCCGGTCTCATCCTTGTCATCCCAGCACTCAAGAGTAGGAGGCAGAAGGATCAGGATTCCAAAGTTAGCCTCGGCTACATAGTGAGTTCAAGGCCAGCCTGAGTACAAGAAATGAAAGAAAAAACCCTGGATTTCCTTTTTGTATTCTTTGAGTTCAAGGCTAACCTCGGCTACATACCAAGTTCAAGGCCAGCCTGGGCTACCTGAGACCGGGTCTCAAAAAGAAAAGGACACACTCTGGTCCTCCCAGCACTTGGGGGACACTCCACCACTGTCCCCAGCAGCGGGACTGCCTCTCTGAGCTCATTTTTTTTTTCCCCATATCTCTGAGGTGGACACCCAGTGGCTAAGGTGACCTCGCTCCCGTGGGGTGGCTGGAGACTTGAGTGTGTGGTAGTTTGCCATTTCCTCAGTCGGTCAACAAGTGCCCGCCGCCAAGAAGCTTTTTGGCCAAAGTCATGGGACCAAGAGAGGCGAGCGAGAAGACCCCACCCTTGGGAGCTGGCTGTCCATCACACCGCCTGCTCAGAAGAGGGAACACTGCGGGTTGGGTCAGGGTGGGGACCCCAAAGCAGAGAAGGGAGGCAGAGGACGAGGGTGGGGGACGTTTGAGCAAAGACAGGGTGCATGAGGCTGCTCAAGATGCGCAGGTGCAAAGGCCTTGAGGTACCAGGGAGCCTGGATACAGGGCTGAATGCTCCCTCCTCCTCCTCCTCCTCCTCCTCCTCCTCCTCCTCC